GCCCGTGCCCCCGCCCCAGGGGCGAGCCAGCGGCTGCGCCGACGCGGCTGGCCACACAGGGACGGCCGTGTCCCCGCGCTGGGTCACGAGGCGCCTCGCGCGGCTCTGCGGCGGTTCTGCCACGCTGACCCATCGCCCTCTCCGCGAGGCTCCTCTTGGCACTAGCGATTCCCCCCGTGAGGGCACCCACCTTCCCTGTGGCCCGGCCTATTGCCCCCGCTGCGGGCAGTGCCGGCCGTTTCGGGAACGTGGGATACAAATCTAACGTTTTAATCTAGCAGTTTGATTATAACGAGTCTGTTGAAAGCCCAGGAGCCGGGCACGGGGTAGCAGATGTCCTCAGAGCTTCCTGAGCTGCTTGCAAGTCCTGTGACCAGGTGCCCTCCCTGCACGCAAGAGGCAGGAGCACGGCCGTGGCCAAGGGCTCCGCGGGACGGAAAACTGAGCTCACTCTGCAGGGCTTCCCGGGAGCGGCCCAAGAGGGGCAGCAGCTGCTCCTTCGCCTCCGCCTGGCTGTTAGCTTTAGTGATGGGTACAAAATGGGTCTTTAGGGACCCTTTGCAAACCCTGAACGCTGCTCCTGGCGGGTGCCAGGCCCTCTGCATCCGCAGACCGTGCACCTCCGGCGCGGGAGCGCGATGGCCGGGTCACCTCCCGCTCCGTGTCTGATCGGCCTCGTCAGCCAGCCCCGCTCGTGTCCTCACACCGCCTCGAGGGGAACCAGGGCCGCCCCTCGCGGGCTCCCCTTCCCCTCACGCCTGGTGTTCGAACAAAGATTGCTGATAGAAGCCCGCACAGCTTCAGAAATTCTCCTTACGTATCCATAAATTCTTAAATCTATTCAAATTCTGAATTACAGAGGCCTCTTGAGCACACTCCACAACAGAAAGGAACTCCCAGGGCAAGATTACTATCACGAGCATGTTGACCAGCTGGAGCGGGGCGGCTTTTTCTCCAGCTCGCTGCTATTGGGCTTGTCAAGTGCGTAAGTCTGCGGGTAGGAAACTGCTGGGGCTTTGTTCTAACGCGGTCAAGCTTGTTCGCTTTTATTGTCTTCCTCCAGGTAATGTACTTTACACATATGCAACTGTATCCAAGGAAAATTATAGTCGACCACACCTTTGTAATAACTAGAAAAAAAATAAAATAAAGTCAACCTTTAGTTGTAAACTGAGAGGAGGACGGAGGTGAGATGGAGCTAAGGCACGTTCCTTTCCGAGTAGCAGTTCTTAAAGGCTTCTGTTGGAACAAGACTAGGCTGCAAAAGCAGTGGGAAAGCAGGTGAAAGAGTAAATTCAGAGATACATAGACAAAAAAGAAAAAACTGTCCTTGCAACTCTCATTTCTTAGAGCATCTCGTCATGTTCCACGTGCCTGTTCCTCACAGCCCCTCTTCAAAGACGCCTGAGAGGAAGCCTGGAAGGGCAGGGACTGGGGCTGTTGAAGGGCATCTCCGGGCACAACTTCCATCCTCCCGCCCGCAGCAGCGGCTGTTGGAGATGGGTCCCGACACCTGGCTGCGCATCCAGGCCAGGGCACCGCGCTGCCCGCACCGACCTCCCCCTTCACCCTCTGCACCGCGCGGGGGGAACGCTGCGGGAGGAAACCTGCGCACTAACTCGTACAGCTCACAAGGCCACAGCCCAACGCGCCCCCACACAGGACTGGGCCCGTGTTTCCAGAACAGCCATTTACTGCACTTCTCAACTCACATTCTCCCCACGCGGCTATTGCCTAAGGCAGGGCACATGCAAGGCCCAGAGACGGGGAAAAGACAAACAGAGGCAAAAAGCCGTCCGTGACAGGGCAAAAACCATCATCTTGCACACACGCTTTTCCACATAGCCATGAATTTATTGATTGTTAGACTAGCTTGTGTATGTAACATGCAAGATGGAGAAGAAAACCAATGTTTTACTACAAACATGGAAGTCACAGCTCAACAGCAGCACTACAAATGGCAAACCCAGGTAAAATCCCCGTGCAGCAGCAAACGATGCACCCATTTTTTTTTCCCCCTCCTCTGTAGCAAAAGGTCTGAGTTTGTTTATGGCTGAGAAGCATTCAGATGACTCAGCAGACTTAATACGTAATTCTGTTGGTAGCTTGATTCCAGCAGAGTCTGCCCAGATGCAGTAGCAGAAGAGCAGCCCGGGGCAGCTGGGAAGCACGGCACTGCGCCCACAGCGGACGGGAGGGCTCTGCTTGAACCACGGCTCACAGAGCACTGGGCATCTGCTGGAAAGCAGCTCTGCCTCCCAGCTCCCGGGCTCTTTGGGGCTTCAAGCAGCCCTTTCTTGTTTGAAACAGAGGGAAGAACCTTGGCTTCGAAGGCAGCACCAGGACGAGGTGCCCCCGAGCCAAGAGTCCTCCCCACACCACAACTCAGCAGGGTGGCGAGCGTGGTCCCGCTGCGGCGCGCTGCCAGCACAGCGCGCCTCACCTTCAGCCTCAATAAATAGCGGGAATTGGAAAAAAGCAGCACATCTCTTTTGCAGCGGAATTTTACGTTCATACCACGTACCTTGCTACCGAATAAACTCAAAGGAAACTTTCATTAAAAGCAGTAGGAGCTAAAAAGTGCAATACTTAATATATTTATCCTGGTTTTTGTAGTCCATTGAGCTGTATAGATAACATCTTCGCAACAGTCTCAAAAGCATTTGGGAATTTAAAGAGCTTGATCTTCTGATTTCTCCAACAAGAAACCATAAAAGAGAAAACAATTAAATGCCCTAAGTATTTTATTCATAAATCACTAAAATGAAAGGGCAAAGCAGGTCTTCTGTTTTAAACGCCAGCTGGTCAGGATCTTTGTTTTAGGGTGGCTTGAGAGCATATATGCACCTAGCAATGTTTTTCCTAAGAATCCTTCCAGTTACTCAACCCTCCCCGCTCCGCGAGCGCCCGCGTTGGCGGCGGCGCTAGGGGCGGCAGCGCTGCACGAAGCGGGGGTACAGGCACACGTCGCGGATGTGGTGCCGGTTCAGGATCCACGTGAGGAAGCGCTCCAAGCCCAGGCCGTAGCCGCCGTGCGGGCAGGTCCCGTATTTCCTCTGGGAAACGAGAAGCAGAAAGGAGACCGAAGCACGCAGTTATTACCTAAACAACAAGCTAAGTAACACCAGCAGCAAAAAAAAAATCATTTTCTGAATGAGTGGTAGGGAAACTGGATTATGGTCTTGCCAGGTGAGATGTGCTCAGTTTCTGAGGGGAAGACTAGAAAAAGGAAGGGGAAAAAGAAAGTCTTAATGACCTTCTTCAGGCTCTCCCTCTTCTCCTCCCGTTACAGCAGGCAGAGCTGCTGGAGGCTGAAGGGCCCCAGTGTCCTCACATGGGGGCTCCCAAGGCAGCGCCCTGCGCGCAGGACACGGCCACGGGCACCAGCCAGCAGGACCCTCCACCACGGGCGACCCCAAGCAGGCAGAGACCTGCAGAGCAGCCCAGGCTGCTCCCCGCTGCGTTTGGCAAACGCCCAAGCGGCCACCGACTCCTGGCCATCAAATGTGCTTCCAATGCAGACTTGGAAAGTTCCTCGTCACCTTCAAAGCAGTTTTGAAACGCTCAGGCCCCACGTCGCGGGCGGCAGGGCCGTTTCACGCACCTGGTCAGTGTACCAGTAGTAGGGGCTGGGGTCGATGCCCTCTCTCTTGTAGCCCTCCGCCAGCTCCTCGCTGTCCCAGATGCGCATGGAGCCTCCCACGATCTCACCCACGTTGGGCATCAGCACATCCACCTGCAACGCAACACGGCACGAGGTCAAGCCAGCAGCAACACGCTGTCCACGGAGGCTTCAAGATCTTTTGCAGTCAGACTCGTTCATTTTATGCTCCTTCACAGAGACACCCCCACCCTGCTCAGGAGCCTGTAGCGCGAGGTGAAACCCCGACTTACCGACTCGGTGAGCCGGGAATCCTCAGGGCAGCGCTGCATGTAGAAGGACTTGATCTCTGCAGGAAACCGACACAGCAGGATGGGCTCGTTGATGGTGTCTGTCATTAACCTCTCGGGAGCTTCAGGAATATCCTACAATTAAGGGAGATTCTGTTATTATTTAAAATTAGGAGCACTACAAAACCCCAAGTCCCGCAACACACCAGGCAGGAAAGACAGAAGATGGTTTCAGACCACGTACACCCACACGTTCACCTGCTGCACGCCAATTCTTAGTCAAACTTACCTTAGAGGAATTCAAGAAACTTTATATAATAATCATCCCAGTGTTGTAGACGGAAAGATTATGAGAAGTCTAACCTGAAGGGAGACCTTCCAAATGACTAATAAACATGGAAGAGCCTAAATTCTTTTCTCCCAAGAAGTGTTTTCCATAAACCTTAGAACTGGCATCTAAGCACTTTCTTGTTATGTATATAGGGTTATTTATTAATGAACTCAACTGATTAGTTATAGCCATAAGACTATTTTTAAGTTTTCCAAACACAATTTGATAAACTGTGAACCACCTAGCAAAGTCTATAATCAGAAATTTTGTTTTAATAAAACCAGCAGTTTTAGTGTTTAAAACTGGGGACGTGGAACGGACGACACCAGTTACAGAGACACAGAGCACCGGTGACCGTGCAACCACAGCTCCTCAAATGCTGTTTGTTGTGTTAAAAACTCCTCCGGTCCCCGGAGGGCCCCGCTTCGGCCAACGGTTACCCGCGTTTCTCAGACTCCAGGTCAGCTCTGAACACTGGAGCTTTCCCAACCGGCAGCCGCGCCTGCCGGTTGCTCGTTTTCCAGCCAGGCCAGTGCCCATTTGCCGTGCCAGGGCCCGCGCGTGCCGCCGCCTCCAGGACGCACCTCTCCGAACTCGTAGTGGGTGCCGTCGTCCTTCCTCACGTCGTGCTCCCGCAGCCACGCGATGGCGTCGCTGTAGTTCATCCGGCGGAACGGCCGCTTGGGCGGCTCGAAGCCCTGCAAGCAGCAGCACACACTGACACCATCAGCAGCCTGTCTCTGCACAAGGTGTTTCCTAACTGATAGCAACGTGGAAATGAACTCCACACAACGGGCAGGCTGATCACAGCCGCTGCAGACCCCCGTTTCCAGCCGCGCACGGCCGTGCCCCACCGCTGCCTACCGGGTTCAGGTCGTGCAGGAGATCTGCGGCAGGCGACCGCAGGATTCTGTCCACCACATCACACACCAGCTTCTCCACACGGTCCAGCAAGTCCTCGTAACTTATAAAAGGGCATTCTGCTTCAATGTGAGTGTACCTGAAACACAGGGTCACACCATGACAAACGCACACACGCGGGTTACCTTCAGCTAGGAAAAAACCCTCAGAAGAACAAATCTCCTTATCCCCTTCTTCATTTCTCCCACTTCTAAATTGCAAAGAAAATAAGGTGGTAAACATACCGTCAATGAAACAGCTCCTTCAGCTGTATTTTCTAAATAGATTTTTTAATAAGTTTTATCTGTTAGATCCATTTAGCCCAAGCCTTCATTCAGTAAATATCAACATGTTATGACCCACTGGCCACTCACTGAGACAAGACACTGCCCCAAAGTCCTTCCCTACCCCTAGTGCCACGTTCTCCCCGTACTCTCCACCATCCAACTCTCTGCTGCCTCCCTGCCTTGCAATTCCATTTATACATACATAATAAATGTGTATTTTCTCCATACTCTGCCAAGTGCCTGCGTGTCCTGGACTGCTCAGCTCGGTACGACTGAGCAATACAAAAAACATCTCCTAGTGCCGGCATGCAGGTCTCCAGGTAGAGCTGGGATGACTGTGTCAGGTAGGCCTCTTCCCCAAAATAATCCAGCTTGAACAGGGTGGAGCCTCCTTCAACCTGCGTTTGGACTAACGTTGGAGGTGTCACCTGTGGAAGAG